CCACAGCAGAGAGCTGGCCTGGAAGAGGGGCAACCGGGACAGAATCCGGCGCCCCAACCGGGACTAGAACCCGGTGTGCCGGCGCCTCTAGGCGGAGGATTAGCCTAGTGAGCTGCGGCGCCGGCCTATTTATTTATTTTTAAAAATTCACTTTTATTCACTTAAAAGGTACAGCTACACAGTGAGAGGGAGAGATGGAGAGAGGCCTTCTATCTGCTGGCTCACTCCCCAGATGGCTGTGACAGTTGGGGTTGTGCCAGGCTGAAGCCAGGAGCCTGGAGCTTCTTCCACGGTCACCCACGTGGGTGCAGGGGCCCAAGGACTTGCGGCATCTTCCACTGCTTTTCCAGGCCATTAGCAGGGAGCTGGAACTCTGAAGTGGAGCAGACTTGAACCGGTGCCCGTATGGGATACCGATGTTGCAGGCGGTGGGTTAACCCTCTGAGCCACAGCGCTGGCTCCAGGAACTACATTTTAGAAATCACCTATCTCTGAGAACTGAAGCGGCTGACTTGGGGGCTGCCTGAGGAATACAGATGAGCCACAAGCCAGTCTCTACACAGGCCCTGGCTACATGCGGCCGGGGAAGGCCCACAGACTTCAGCTGGAAACTGACCTGGGTTTGATCCCTGGCTGTACCACACATGCAGCTGTGAAACCTGTGTGACCGTGGGCAGGTGGCTTTCCCACTCTGGACTTCAGTGTCCCTCTCTGTAACACAGAGTGTGCAGCAATGTGTACAGAGTACATGCGACAGAGGGGCCGGGGGTCACTGGCCCGGCCTCACCCCGCGTTTTGTAACATGTATTTACTTTCCCTGCAGGACAATGGGAGGGATGGAAAATCCTGCTGGTACTCCAGCCAACAGGCACTGACTCACGCTCAGCCCTGGGCCGGGGGCCCAGGGAGCTCCCACAGCCTCCCCTTGGGACCAGAGGGGAGGCCGGCCCCCGGCAGCAGGGGCAGGAGAGGGTCCGCGGTGACTCACCGCCCTGCCTGCCCTGAGTCACCTGCTGGGAACGCACTCGGGCCCCCACCCGCCTGGGCCCCTGGCAGCCTGCCCCTGCCTGCTGGGCAGCCCCACGCTGTTGCTTCACCCGGGAGCCGTGCCCCTGACCCCCGCCAGCCTGCCCTGGCCCCAGGGGTGTGCAGTGCAGCTGGGTGGTCAGCTTCGTCTCTCAGACCTCAGCAGCAGACACCTTGTCTCAAACCCTGGATACCGCTTCTCAGGACTGTGCCTTAGCCACTCAGTCCAGGACAGTGAGGGCCGCCTGGCAAGGAGGTCACCCAGTCAGAACCGAGACAAGCAGCTGGGTGGGGCCGGACACGCTCCGCCTGGCCTGGATCCCCGCAGGACCGGCTGCCCAGCCCGATCCCAAAACTCTCAGCTTCCCCTCCCTGCCCAGGCCTGCTTCCTCGCGCCCCAGAGTGCCCACTGCCCAGACCAGTGGGGCTGCATTTCTGGGCCAGTGTCGGGGTGTGACAAGTGACAGCTCTGGGGATATCCCAGGTCAGAAGGTCAGGACCCCATTTCCTCCAGAGCCTTTAGGCTTGAGTGAGAGATGGGTCACGGGGCAGAACACAGAATCAACTCAAGTTTCAGGCGGAAGCTGCCCTGGGTTTGAATCCTGGCCCTACTACGTGTCTGGCTGTGTCACCTCCACTGGGCAGCTCAACCTCTCCATAAAGTGGGGGAAATCCCAGTCCCTCCGTTCCCTGGATCTGTGACCCCGAGAACAGGTCGTCGCCTCTCTGAACCTCAGTCTCCCCATCTGAAAAATGGGGACGTTCTGACACCAGCTCCACGGCGTCTCGAAAAGGCTCAGTGAGGTGACAAACAGTACCTGCTGTTGAGCACTCACCAGGTGCCAGGCTCTGTGCTGAGGGGCCTGGCGCTGCAACCTCCAGCTTGAGTGAGGTTGATGGACAGGCCGTCAAGTGCACGTACTTAAAGCGAACAATCTGATGAGTTTACACGGGAGCACCCAACCGTGAAACCAGTGCCACTACAAAGACTGGACTGGCCCCATGGGCAGCTGTGGTCCCGGGTCACCAAGAGATTAGATGCCTGGTCAAGGATGTTAATGAGAACCCAGGATTTAAACCCTGCAGTCGGAGCCAGTGCTCTTGTCCCCACCTCTACCAACACGGGCAGGGTCCCTGGCTTAGAGTGGGTGTTCAGTGTCAACGCTGCATGAACAGACGGATGGGTGGGAGGATGGATGGATGGATGGATGGATGGATAGATGGGTGGATGGATGGATGGGTGGGTGGAGGATGGATGGATGGGTGGGTGGGGGATGGATGGATGGGTGGGAGGATGGATGGGGGATGGATGGATGGGAGGATGGATGGATGGGTGGATGGATGAGTGGGATGGATGGGTGGGTGGGTGGATGGGTGGGTGGATGGATGGGTGGATGGGTGGATGAGTGGGAGGATGGATGGAAGGATGGATGGATGGGTGGGTGGGGGATGGATGGATGGGTGGGGATGGATGGGTGGGTGGGGTGGATGGGGGATGGATGGGGGGGATGGATGGATGGGGGGATGGATGGATGGGAGGATGGATGGGAGGGTGGGTGGATGGATGGATGGGGGATGGGTGGGGGATGGATGGATGGGTGAGGAGATGGATGGATGGGTGAGGGATGGATGGATGGGTGAGGAGATGGATGGATGGGTGAGGAGATGGATGGATGGGTGGGGGATGGATGGGGGATGGGGGGATGGGGGGATGGATGGGTGGGTGGGTGGGAGGATGGGTGAATGGATGGGTGGGAGGATGGATGGGTGGGTGGGTTGGAGGATGGGTGAATGGATGGATGGGAAGGTGGGTGGATTGGTGGGAGGAGGGATGGGTGGGTGGATGGATGGATGGGGGTGGGGTGGGGGGTGGGTGGGGGATGGATAGATGGGTGGGAGGATGGATGGGTGGGGGATGGATGGATGGGTGGATGGATGAGTGGGAGGATGGATGGGTGGGTGGGGGATGGATGGATGGTGGATGGGTGGATGAGTGGGAGGATGGATGGAAGGATGGGTGGATGGGTGAATGAGTGGGTGGGGATGATAGATGGGTGGGAGATGGATGGGTGGGTGGGTGGATGGGGGGTGGGTGGATGGATGGGTGGGGAATGGATGGATGGGTGGGGGATGGATGGATGGGTGGGGGATGGATGGGGGATGGGGGGATGGGGGGATGGATGGGTGGGTGGGTGGGGGATGGATGGATGGATGGATGGGTGGGTGGGGGATGGATGGATGGGTGGGAGGATGGATGGGTGGGTGGGTGGGAGGATGGGTGAATGGATGGGTGGGAGGATGGATGGGTGGGTGGGTTGGAGGATGGGTGAATGGATGGGTGGGAGGATGGATGGGTGGGTGGGTTGGAGGATGGGTGAATGGATGGATGGGAAGGTGGGTGGATTGGTGGGAGGATGGATGGGTGGGTGGATGGATGGATGGGGGTGGGTGGGGGGGTGGGTGGGGGATGGATAGATGGGTGGGAGGATGGATGGGTGGGGGATGGATGGATGGGTGGATGGATGAGTGGGAGGATGGATGGGTGGGTGGGGGATGGATGGATGGGTGGATGGGTGGATGAGTGGGAGGATGGATGGAAGGATGGGTGGATGGGTGAATGAGTGGGTGGGGGATGGATAGATGGGTGGGAGATGGATGGGTGGGTGGGTGGATGGGGGGTGGGTGGATGGATGGGTGGGGAATGGATGGATGGGTGGGGGATGGATGGATGGGTGGATGGGAGGATGGATGGGTGGATGGGAGGATGGATGGGTGGGTAGGTGGGAGGATGGGTGGGTGGGAAGATGGATAGATAGGAGGATAGATGGGTAGGAGATGGATGAGAGAACCAATGCACTGTGGTGGTCCCAGGAAAAGACCCTAGAGGAGGACCAGGCACGAGGGAGTAGATCCTGAGTCTAAAGGGAGAGAAGGAGTTTGGTCATTTACTCACTCACTCACTAATTCGTTTGTTCACCCGTCAATATTTCTTGAGCACCTGTCAAGTGACAGACCCTGTTCTAGGCACTCAGGATATAAGATCGAGTACACGGGATGAGGGTTCCTGCCTCAGAGAGCTTGCTGCGAGTCTGAGGCCACCTTGGCCTCTCCTGTGTATCCACAAGGTCTGTGGTTGGCCCAGAGACACACGCGGAAGGGCTCAGGGACATGGTAAGGGCAGTGGTCAGCCCTGAGGCTGAAGGGGTCAGGGCCTGATGAGGAAGGGGAGTTCTTCTGTCCTACACAGCGCTGCCTCTCCCATGGCAACCAGGCCCCTCCCCACCCCAGGGGAGCACGCCCATCTCTGTCCCCACGAGGGGGCAGCCAGGGAACATGGACTGCAGTATCCATCATGCACAGGTACTCACATTCACTCAGGCACCCCCATTTGGGGAGCACCGATTGCATGCCCCACCCTAGGGAGACAGCAGCCAGCAAGGGGGCTCCTGTGTGAGGCGGGTCAGGGACAGCCAAGCAAACAAACATTTTTACAAAAGGGAAGGCGCCTACGTGCCCATCAGCGGGAGAGCCACAGTGCGTCAGGAAACTGAAACCCTCAGGTCCTGGGGCCGTGGAGGAATGCAGGCCTGACCAGGAAGGAAGCCGGGGTGTGGCGGGTGGGGAGCAGGACCGCCCACATGCAGGTTTTCAGGTGCTGGGCTCTGGGCGGCTGTGATCTGGGACAGAGCCGCAGGGTCGCTGCCTGTGCCGGTCGGGATCTGCCTGGGCCTCTGTCTGCTCTCCATGCTGAGCTAAAACATTCCTCTCTGGCCCAGGAAGCCGCGTCCCCCGGGGCGGCCCTCCCAGGCCATCCTCTGGTCACAGGGAAAGGCTTAATCCCCCAGGCACGGATGAGTCAGTGTCAGTGGGTGCTGGACACACAGTCCCTCCTCCCAGCCCTGAGGTCCCAGGCGTGGCCGCTGGGACTGGGGAGGTTGTGAGCCCCTGGGACCCAGGAAGGGAGAGGCTCATCTCCCTGCTTATGTCACATCGAGTTTATTTATGTGAGCACGCGAGTGTACTTCAAAACGTCTGGAGAAATGGAATGAAAAGACAGCACCGGCATCCCATATGGGAACTGGTTTGAGTCCTGGCTGCTACACTCCCGATCCAGTTCCCTGCTATGGCCTGGGAAAGCAGCGGGAGATGGCCCAAGTCCCTGGGCCCCTACCATCCATGTGGGAGACCTGGAGAAAACTCCTGACTCCTGGCTTCCACCTGGCCCAACCCCGGCCGTTGCAGCCATTTGGGGAGTAAACCAGCCGATGGAAGACCTCTCAGTGAGTACCTCCCCCTCTCTCTGTAACTCTGCCTTTCAAATAAATAATTTTTTAAAAAAGACAAGTTTATTTTGGTGCAAAAGCAGGAAATCCATGCCTACTCCTATTCTTTGTGCCTATCTATGTAATCAATGTCAACTCCACCAGCCGTGTGTGCCAGAGGCTATGCCACAGGTGCATCCAGAGACCTCGCAGGTCCCAGCCTGGAGAAGTGGGCAACCCACGGCCCTGCCCCGCCCCCCCAGGTGGGGGCAGCTGGGCAGGGCAGGGTAGGCTTTGGTGACCATGGTCCCTCCCACAGGCCCAGTCCTTGGTCTGACCCCAGTGCTCAGTCCCCCGTGACAGACTGGTCCGAGTGGACTGTGCATGGTGGACACTGCAGTCCATGTTCCCCGGCTGCACCCTTGGCTCATCCCTGCGTGGGGCTGCCCTCCTGGTCTCCCAGTTCCTGGCTCCTCTCCTCCCCTCCAGCACCTGCCGCACAGCAGGGCCTGGGGCTCACGTCTCCCTGGGCAGGGGGCCTGTGGCTCTCGCCTACATCACTGCTGTCAACTCCTGGTGCCCCCTCCTCCCTGTGGGCTTCCCCCTGCTCCCCCCCCCCCTGCAGTCTATTTCCACTCAGCATCCGGAGCGCTGGGGCAGAAGTCTCTGCACTTGCCTGATCCACACTCCACTTCTGCTCCCAGGCCCCTCAGCAGCAAAAGCGGACAGCCAACTACTGCACTCCCTCCCTCGGCCCCTGCGAGCTGGCGCCCCCTCCTCCCCATGCCCCCCGAGGGCTCCCTCCCCCTGCAGACACCAGTCCCCCACTTTCCTTGAACCCACAGAGCAACTCTGACCTCAGGGCCTTTGCACTGGCCACCTACTCCCGCACCACCATCTGCTCCGTCTCTTTGTGGCTCACCCTTCTCTCCTGCTGAGCCAGCACCTGTCTCCATGGTGATGGGCCCTCTCCCATCAGCACCAGGCTCGGGGTTGAACCCCCCACGGGGGAAGCCTTTGCTGTTTTCCTTCCCCAGCCGTCAGCACCTGAAAACCTCGTGTGCTGACCCGAGCGGTGCTGCGGGGCTCACAGGCTTGGCCAAGGAGCCTCGGGATCTCCTCTCCGCTCACGTCCATGGTGCCCCCTTCGCTGGCTGGAGGGGTGACCGCTGCAGACTCTGCCCCCACCCACAGCGTGGGGAGGACCCCCGGGATGGGCAGAGACATGCGCTCTGTATCGCCCTCTGCAGGTGGCTCCTGGAATCTCCTCAAGGCCAGGAGAGGGTCTCCCTTCAGCCTTGACTTTGGCTGTGAGACGGAGCTCAGGCCCCTGACCTCTGGACTGTACCATGGTAAGCTGGCAGTCCTGTGCTGGGACATGTACGTGGGGTGCTTCTGCTGCACCCCTCAAGGTGGCTTGGGCCTGAGACAGCTCCTGGGGAGGGGAGGGGTGGGAGTGGGTCTCTCCTTCCAATGGCACCCCCTCCCGCTGTAGCCACCCACAGGCTGGGACAGAGGACAGTGGTCGCCTGCAGAGCAGCGGGGCCTTCCTCCATGCCTCTGTGCCACTTGTGTGTCTTCAGACCCCAAGAGAACTGGCTGGGTCCAGGTTTGGTCCCGGCCAGGCACACCCATGGGAGAAACGCCAGCACGGCACCACCCTGCCGGCCTTGGAGCTCGTTCCCATCATGCGAATACTCCGGATCCGACCACGGTGGGAGACGCGGTAAAGCACACGCAGCCCCGGGCGGTAGGCTGCCACTCAGCCAACATGCATGTGCCAGACCACTTACGGCCGGAGAAAAGTTGCCCGTCCCGTGCACGTTGCCCCCAGAGCGGGCAAAGCCGCAGACCAAAATCGGATGTGGTTGCTGAGGGCTGGGGCGGCAAAGGTGTCAGGGTTCTTTTCGAAAATGGTTATATCTTTTTGTTAAAATAATGGTTGTTTGAGAAGGTGAGAGAGACAGTCAGGCACACAGCCAGTCAGAGAGGGACACAACACATGGAAATCTTCCATCTGCTGGTTCCTTCCCCAACAGCCCCCAACAGCCATGGCTGGGCCTGGCCCACACTGAGAGTAAAGCACTCCACGCAGGTCTCCCACGCGGGTGCCAGGGGCCCGAGTACTCCACGCAGGTCTCCCATGCGGGTGCCAGGGGCCTGAGTACTCCACGCAGGTCTCCCACGCAGGTGCCAGGGGCCCGAGTACCAAATCATCAGCGCAGCCTCCCAGGGTCTGCGTTAACAGGAAGCCGGGTTGGGGTGGGGCCTGGAACCGACCCCACGTCTGTCCTGGCCACGTCTCACAGATTACAATGTTCTGAAGTGGATCTCTGTCTCTCCAGCTGTCGAGTCAATGAAAATAAGACAACAAATAAAATATAAAAAGAAAATCGTGGTGATGGTGTGCAACTCTAACTACACGGAAACCATTTAATTGTACACTTCAGGTAAGGGAGTTATGGTGTACAAGGTACGGCCCAGACAGTCAGAGCTGTCACTGTCCTGCGCAGGCTGGCCACAACCTCCACCCATGCTCAGCACGGCCCCTCCCTCAGCACTAGCTCGGACACCCAGCACCTGCCAGGGTCCTTGCCTGATCTCCATCAGCCGTGGGACAGCATGGTCACTGCTCTCTTTCATGTTCAGATTTACTTATTGATTTCAAAGGCAGAGCAAGAGAGGGAGGGGAAGAAGGAGGGGGGATGGAGGGGGAGGGAGCGTTTCCATCCGCTGGTTCACTCCCCAAACAGCTGCAATAGCCGGGGCTGGACCAGGCTGAAGCCAGGAGCCAGGAATTCCATGCAGGTCCCCCATGCAGGTTCAGGCGCCCGTGAGCCGCCTTCTGCTGCCTTGCAAGCGCGTTGGCAGGAGGCTGGATTCTGAGCACTCCAACCTGGGACGTGGGGGTCCCAAGTGGCGGCTCCACCCGCGCTGCTGCATGCCTGCCCATCACCCTCATTTTAAACAACTTTTCCAATGGGACTTGCGAACTCAAGGCGAAGTGTACACAGCAGGGCGTGCATTGCTTGTCCACGCCCAGGCAGCCTGGTGCAGGGCAGCCACTGGTGCTGCCGTCAGCCCCTGCCGCGGTCCCTGTCCCAGGACCCAGAAGCTCTGTCCCCATCAAAGCCTGGTGAGCGCCACCCCGCTCTCCTGTCCCCACGTCTCCCGCAGTGCTTGCTTCTCTCAGCACAGTCCTCCCAGCCCATCACCTGCCAATGCTTTGTTGCTTTCCAAGGCTCATTTTCCATGTCTCCCCCTTTCAAAGGGGGGGACACTGCAGCCACACAGCTGGGAGGCAGCAGGACCAGAGCTCACACCGGGGCCTGACCCATCACCTATGCTAACCACTGTGCTACCCTGCTCCCTCCCTCAGTCCACGCTGGCTCCCCACTGCTGTCAGACCCCTGCCCGGACCTCTTCTCTCCACGCTCTGCACAGCTGTTTTATGACCTTTACACATGACCTTTGAACCTGGGGCAGCATATGAGGAAGTGAATGGACTTGGGGCGGGGCTGGGTCAAGGTGATGAGGCCTGGCCCAGCAGCCCCCTTGGGTCAGACTCCCCCAGACTCAGCCTCTCATCCACCAAGGCTGTTCCCATGACCAGGACCCTGGCACGGAGTGGGGCAGGTTCCAGCCTGCCCACCTGCACACAGGGCCCTGCCCACAACACTGCTGGTTCCCGAAGCTCCCAAGTTGAGGAGGCCTCTGGGCTCTGCTCTGAGAAGTGGGCAGCGAGAACACAACTTTGGGGCAGGCACTTGGCCCAGGGCTGAAGACGCTGGTTGGGTCGCCTGCATCCACAGTGGAGGACCTGGGTTTGAATCCCGGCTCTGCTTCCAATTCCGGCTTCCTGCTAATGTGCAGATGGTAGCTCAAGTAGGTGGATCCCTGCCATGGAGACGGGAGACCCAGCGTGAGCTCCTGGCTCTCGGCTCCAGCCTGGCCCAGCCCAGCCGTCCTGGGCATTCAGGGAGCGAGCCGCAGATGGAAGACCTCCTGTGCTTGCCTGTCTGTCTCTGCCTGTCGAGCAGAAAACCAAAGTTACCGTCAATGAGAAACAGCACAGCACAACTTAGAGGCAGCCCCTGGACAAGCCCTCTGGGAGCAGGTGAGTGGCTACCAGGGATGGGGAGCAGTGGGGGAGGAGCAACACCCCGGACAGGGGGCCCTTCGGGGTGACACTGGGCAGGCGTGGTGGTGAACGTGCTAAATGCCACAGCACTGCACACAGCAGGTGGCTAACGTGGCCACGTTCACCTGTATTTTCCCACAATAACCAAAGGTGGGGGCACCTCACCCTGTTTGCCCCAGTCTCACCTGCCTCGACACCAACTGGGGCTACTGTGGACTCCAAGGCCCACGCCTAGGGCCACTGTGTGCCCACAAGGGTCTGGAGTCCCCCGGCTGCCAACCCCTCCTGACCCCCCTGTGTTTGGCGTCACCCCGAGCGGCCCAGCTGAGCACCTATCCCAGCAGGACACCTCCCAGGCACATCTGTGCTGCATCTAGCCTTCTACTCACACAGACGCGTCTCTAACGGTGAATTTCCTGAGGCAGTGGCCTACCTGCTGGGAGGGTGTTCAAGGACTCGGGGTGGCCTCTGGGGTCCCCCAAACCCCTCCACTCACCTGGCAGCTGTGGTGGGGGTGAAGCAGCAGACAGAGCCTGAGGGTCTGCCCTGAGGCTGGCTGCTCACCCAACCCTCCTGGGACCAGGACCGCCTCCCTCGGGGCCCTGGGCACCTGGTAGGATACAGCCCAGGCTGGGAAGGCAGCCCTGGAAGGCGTCTCCGCTGCACACCCCGGGAAGCGAGCGCTGGGGACCAGACTCCTGGGTTTGCGAACCTGCACACGGTGCCTGGTGCGGCTCAGGCGGGGCAGCCACCTCCCCGGGGCTGGAGGAGGAGGGGGCAGTGGCCCTCACGCCCCCCTGCAGCCGCTTTGCTGGGAACAGAGCAGGCGCGGACTGACGCCTTTCGCTCCCAGGGCTTCTGGTCACCACGCCTCGCTCAGGCGGCTCTTTGGCGCCCAATACCGCTGGACTCCTTGAGCCCCACAACTCACCTTTGAGGTGCTCCAGGCGCCATGGGCTGTCGTTTGCTGCCACCTCGTGGCGGAGGTGGGACCCTCGGGTGCCCGGTCCTGCCCGGTCCCAGGTGGGATCCGGCGGACAGGTGCACGCGGACAGTCCAGGTGCCGGCACGCAGCCACGGCTGTGAGCGCCCAGCGCCGCGCGCAGGTGCATCTCCGAGGTTTCCTCGACGAGGGGAACGGGCATTTGGCGGGGGCGCAGGCCGGCCTGGAAGAGTGGACACGGGGATGACCGCGTCCGGAGCCGGCTTCTCGCTTCTGCAGGCCCAGCGGACGGAGAGAGCCGGGCAGCGCTACGAGGGCGCGGGCTGACCTTCGCCGAGGGCGGCGGGCTCTGGCCCGCTCTGCGTCTCGCACCCTCCCCGCTGCTCGCTCGCTCGCTCTCCGGCGTTTTTCACCTCCACACCGCCTTGGCGGTGTTTGTTCCCGGCCTGTGTGCCCCAGCGCGCGGCCAACTCCAGCTGAGCCCACCGGGGACTCCTCCAGCACCTGCCACTCACTAGGTGCCCGCTACACGCGCGGAGGGACAGTGACTGGGCGTGGCCTGGGGCGCGGCTGAAGCCCAGCAGCAGCCACGGCGAGGTTCATCTATCTGGGATAACGCAAAGTGCACGGTGACGCGGGGCAGCTCGCGGGAGCTAGGTCCTTCAGGGGGCAGGGCGGGCAGGGGTGGAGCCTGGGCCAGCCTCCGGGCCCGGAGCTTTAGAGGCGGGGCACTCAGGGGCGTGGCCTACCTGAGGCGTGGCCAATCTGGAAGCCGAGCTGGGACTTGGGCGTGGCCAAAGGGCGCGTACAGCAGGAGGGGCTAAGACTGGGACGGCGTTAGGAGGGCGTGGCTAGGCTGGGGCGGGGCCAGCCTCCCGGCCTGGAGTCTTAGAAGCTGGGCCTTCTGGAGGCGTGGCCGACCTGAGGCGTGGCCAATCTGGATTCAGAACTGGGCCTTGGGCGTGGCCAAATGGCGCGTTAAGCAGAAGGAGGGGCTAAGGCTGGGGCCGCGTTAGGAGGGCGTGGCCAGGCTGGGGCGGGGCCAGTCCGGGGTCGGGGTTATATCTGGGCGGGGGCCGCGGCAGGAGGCGTGGGCGGGACCGTCCGGGGGCGGGGCCAGCCCCGGCTCTCCGCTGTCCCGGGTCCTGGAGCACTCCCCGCCCGGCCGGCCTCTCTCCGGTCTCCCGGACGCCTCCCCCGGCTGGCCGAGCCGCGGGGTGTGCAGGGCCGGACTCCCCGGGCCGGGCAACTGCCGTTCAGCCCTGCCTCACCCCGGGCGCTGCGCTCTGGGCCAGGAGACCGCGAGGTCCTCGGCGGGTTCAGCTCCGGGACCGGGCGAACGCTGAGGGTCCTGCCCCCGGGCTGCGTCCCTGGGGGCTCCAAGGACGAGGGTGAGCGGGGCTGTGGGGGGCTGTGCGCGCGCGTCTGTGCGTGTGTGTGCGGACGCGTGTGCGCGCTGAGGAGCTGTGAGGGCCCCAGGAGCTGGTGCACGTGCAAGGGGGTCCCCTGTGGGAGGGGAGTCGTGCATGAGTGCGGGGTGGGGGGCGCGCAGAGACAGGACATGTGACGGCTGAGGTCTTGGGGGACCACGGGAGTCGGGTGCAGGGGTCTCTGGGGAGGCCCGTGGCAGGCTGTGGGGTGCAATGACAGGCGTGTGTTTTTATGTGGGGGTGGTGAGGGGTCCTCAGTGGTGGGGACAGCAGACAGTTCGGGAGGGTGTTGAGTGCTCTTGGAGGAGTGGGGGTGGTCTGAGGCCCTGGGTAATGCCCAGGACAGGGATTTGGGGCCTGCCCTGCAGTAATTTAGGGACTGTATCGGGTCCCTCACTTTATGGGGTAGGCCATGTTTGAGTGGGGCCAGAGGGCAGGTGGGCAGTGTCCCTGTGTGCCTGCAGGCAGCTGCTGCCTCACTGTCACCCCTCGTCCCAGGCTCTGTGCACACCCCTGCCTGGTGGCTTCCGGCGTGAACATGGTGCAGAAGTACCAGTCTCCTGTCCGCGTCTACAAGTATCCGTTCGAACTGGTCATGGCGGTGAGTGACCCCGATTCTCCGGCCCCTCACGTGGGGGTTGGAGAGACTCGACAGCTGAGGCAGGAGGGAGAGGGGACCCCATGGGCCCCCAGTCAGAGGAGTGCTGTGTGCTGACTGGGTGGGTCAGATTCCTAACCAGGGCCCCCCACCTAGCTGTCCCCTCCCACCTTTCACCAGAACTCCTGGGATCTCGTCTCTCTGCTAAAGCTTACCTGCCTCTCACCCCAGACCCTCCTGACAGAACACAGGACATCAGGGACGAAGCCAGCACTGTCCTTTTGTGTAGTGATAACAGTAGTAATCTTGGGAAATGTAGTTATGACAGTGATGCGGTGATGGTGATGGTGATGGTGGTGGTGATGGTGGTGGTGACAGTGATGCTGTGATGGTGATGGTGATGGTGATGGTGGTGGTGGTGGTGATGATGGTGATGGTGGTGGTGGTGATGCTGTGATGGTGATGGTGGTGGTGGTTGTAGTGGTGATGGTGATGCTGATGCTGTGATGGTGGTAGTGGTGGTGATGGTGGTGGTGGTGGTGGTGATGCTGTGATGGTGATGGTGATGGTGGTGGTGATGCTGTGATGGTGGTGGTGATGATGGTGGTAGTGGTGGTGGTAGTGGCAGTGGTGATGGTGGTGGTAGTGGTGGTGATGATGATGCTATGATGGTGATGGTGATGCCATGATGGTGATGGTGGTGGTGATGGTGGTGGTAGTGGTGATGGTGATGTTGATGGTGATGGTGATGGTGGTGGTAGTGGTGATGATGGTGATGGTGGTGATGCTGTGATGGTGATGGTGGTGGTGATGCTGTGATGGTAATGGTGATGCTGATGCTGTGATGGTGGTGGTGGAGGTGGCAGTGGTGGTGATGGTGGTGGTGGTGATGGTGATGCTGTGATGGTGGTGATGGTGATGGTGATGCTGTGATGGTGATGGTGGTGGTGATGGTGATGGTGGTGGTGGTTGTAGTGATGGTGGTGATGGTGATGGTGGTGGTAGTGGTAGTGGTGGTGATGGTGATGGTAGTGGTGGTGATGATGATGCTATGATGGTGATGGTGATGCCATGATGGTGATGGTGGTGGTGATGGTGATGATGGTAGTAATGGTGGTAGTGAAGTAGTAGCCATCCATTGAGTGTACACAGTGCTCAGTTGTCACACATGATTCCATTCTGTGTAATCCCCAGGTCCTGTTTTACCTCCACTAAACTGAGACTTGGACAGGTGCAGGGATGGCCCCCAGTCCTGCAGTGAGGAGAAGGCGGAGCTGGAGCTCAGGTCCTTGCAGAGGGGACTCCAGAGCCTTGATCTTAAGCAGGAGACCCCCAGTGTCCTCCTCGTGCCCACAGACTTCCGTCCTCACCCCTTCAAGGAGGCTGAGACCAGGAGAGGGCATGAGGAGGGGCAGGAAGGGTATGGGCTCAGTGCCTCTCAGGGTAGGGGCAGGGTAGCCACGGGACGTGCCAGTGTGCTGCAGCAAGGTGGGCGGGGCTTGGGAGAGGCTCCTGGGCTCGAGGTCTCCTGGGTTTGGGGTCCTTTCACCATTGTATGGGTGCTGGAGACAGGCACACGTGGGACTCCTGCGTGGTTCCACGTTCTGCCTCCTGGGCTTCCTGATCTTGCTCAGTGAAATGGGGGCACCTGCAGGGGTGGCAGGGCGGGGGGAGTCCACGGATGAGTCCTGTTGTCCCTGGCTGTGTGTGCCCGTGGCCTGCAGCTGTGTAGTTGCACCAAGGGTCTTATAAATAACTGCGTGGAAAGTGTCAGTCGCCTGAATCCGCCCCCAGCTGCCCACCCACCCCGCTGTGTCACCCCAGCCTCCTCTCCAAGGGCTCTGCTCTCTGAGCCTGCACTCCCGGCTCTAAAATAGGAATCACCTGTTTTCACATCCTGGTGTCATGCACGCTCGGCTCCTGATGTGTGGGAAGCGCCCTTTGAGGTCATGAGGTCGTGAGGTCATGAGGTCATGGGGTCGTGAGGTCATGGGGTCAGGCTGTTACTGCAGTAAGGGCCTGGTGTGTGGAAAGCGCCCCCTGAGGTCGGGCTGTCGCCATGGCTGCTGTCTTTGCCTGTGGCTGGGCCACAGGCCTTCTTTGTAGCCAGGGGTCTCCGAGGAGTGATGAAGAGGCTTCGGCGTGGCTCAGGAGCCCTGGGTCCCAGCCGCGGCTCGCCTGTGGGGGTCTCCTGCCTGAGCCTGAGCGCCCTCCTGTGTGGCAGGAGCAAGGTCACATGCACGCGGAGGTTGTCGTGGGGATTAAAAGGGACTCTGTACGTGTGTGTCAGGGCATATGAGCAAGTAAGTAAGTAACCGTGCTCAGTCCAAGGTTCCTGGTCACTTGCACACGAGGGGTCTTCAAAACATTCCTGGACGGCCACACTGTGGCGTGGTAGGCTAAGGCTCCACCTGTAGCACCGGCATCCCATCAGGGCATTGGTTCGAGTCCCAGCTGCTCCTCTTCTGATCCAGCTCCCTGCTATGGCCTGGATAAGCAGCAGAAGGTGGCCCAAGTCCTTGGGCCTCTGTACCCATGTGGGAGACCTGGAAGAAGCTCCTGGCTCCTGACTTCAGATTGGCCTATCTCTAGTCATGGTGGCCATTTGGAAAGTGAACCAGCAGAATGGAAGACCTTTCTCTCTCTCTCTCCCTCCTTCTCTTTGTAACTCTGCCTCTCAAATAAATAAATAAATATTTAAAAAACAAATAAAAATTCATGGAAAATGCCCATTATATTATACATGGATTTTTTTTAAAAAAAGATTTTATTTATTTATTTGAGAGGTAGAGTTACAGACAGTGAGAGGGAGAGACAGAGTGAAAGGTCTTCTGTCTGTTGGTTCACTCCCCAGATGGCTGCAACGGCTGGAGCTGCGCCAATCCAAAGCTGGGAGCCAGGTGCTTCTTCCTGGTCTCCCACCTGGGTGCAGGGGCCCAACCACTTGGGCCATCCTCCACTGCTTTCCCTGGCCACAGCAGAGAGCTGGATGGGAAGAGGAGCAGCCGGGACTAGAACCAGCGCCCATATGGGATGCTGGCGCTGCAGGGGGAGGATTAACCTACTGCGCCACAGCACCTACCTCTATACATAGATTTAAAAAATTGCACCAAAAATAAACTTATCTATTAACTCCATTTTCCACGAACTTTTTTTTTTTTTAAGTTTGTATATTTGAAAGGCAGAGTGACAGAGAGACAGAGAGAGAGCTTCCATTCACTTGTTCACTCCCTAAACGCTTGCAAAGCCAGAGCTGGGCCAGACTGAAGCCAGGAACCAAGAACTCCATCTTGGTCTCCCATGTGCGACAGGAACCCCAGTATTTGGGGCACTGTCTGCTGCCTTCCAGGTGTGTCAGCAGGAAGCTGGACTGTAGCCAGAGCAGCTGTAACTCAAATCAACACTCAGAGGATGTGGGCATCCCAAGTGGCCACTTAGCCTACTGTGCCACAAAACCTGCCCTCGCCACGAACTTTGTTTTAAAGATAAACAGTGCCTAGTTCTTTTAAAATGCTTATTTATTTTCATTTTGTTTGAAAGACAGAGATATAGAGATAGGTGGACACAGACAGAGAGCTCTCTTCCATCCAATGGTTCATTCCCCAGATGTCCACAATGGCCAGGCCACACTGAAGCCTGGAGCTCAATGCAGGACTCCCGTGGGGGTGGCAAGAACCCAAGTCCTTGAGCCATCACCTGCTACCTTCCAGGATGAGGATAAGCAGGAACCTGGTTCAGAGGCAGAGCTGGGACTCAAAGCCAGACACTTGGATACAGGATGTGAACATCCCATATCCAGATACCCAGCTGTCCATGAACTGCAGCAGATACCCAACTGTCCATGAACTCTTGGAAGTCCCCTTGTATTCTAAGACTAGTCATTCAACTGAAGAGAGACACTGTCCCCCACCTATCTGGAACATGACACCTAACTGTGGAATAAAAATCCAACTATTGCATAGGCTTGGTAAGTGCAAATAGAGCATGTTTAAGGTTCTCAAAAATGTTTACAACTGTTGCATTCTAAAATAAAACACACTGGGGCCAGCGCTGTGGTGTATAGGATGAGCTGCTGCCTGCAACGCTGGCATCCCACATGGGCTCTGGTTCGAATCCCATCTGCTCCACTTCCAATCCAACTCCCTACTAATGTGCCTAGGAAAGCAGTGGAAGATGGCCCGAGGGCTTGGACCCTTGTACCTGTATGGGAGACACAGCTGAAGCTCCTGGCCCCTGGCTTCGGCCTGGCCTGGCCCTGGGCATTGTGGTGATTCAGGGAGTGGACCAACAGATGGAAGATTTTTCTCTGTAACTCCAACTTTCAAATAAATAAACAAATACATCTTTTTTTTTTTTGACAGGCAGAGTGGACAGTGAGAGAGAGAGACAGAGAGAAAGGTCTTCCTTTTGCCGTTGGTTCACCCTCCAATGGCCGCCGCGGCTGGCGCGCTGCGGCCGGCGCACCGCGCTGATCCGATGGCAGGAGCCAGGAGCCAGGTGCTTTTCCTGGTCTCCCATGGGGTGCAGGGCCCAAGCACCTGGGCCATCCTCCACTGCACTCCCTGGCCACAGCAGAGGGCTGGCCTGGAAGAGGGGCAACCGGGACAGAATCCGGCGCCCCAACCGGGACTAGAACCCGGTGTGCCGGCGCCGCTAGGCGGAGGATTAGCCTAGTGAGCCGCGGCGCCGGCCCAACAAATACATCTTTTAAAATAAATAAATAAAGCCCGGCGGCGGCTGTCACACCTCGCATGAGAACAGGGCGGCTGTGAGCCTGCAGCGCCTTCGCCAGGCTGTGCTGAGTTCCATCAGTGACGGTGGCGCTCAGCGTTCACCCTCCCTGGGGGTGGATGTGTAGGCGCAGTGGGCAGAGAAAAGAAGCTGGAGGCGTTCAAATCTTTCTTGTCTGTGCCTGCGTTCACTTCTTTGTGAAGTTCTTGTCTGTGAAATGGTCCCAAGCCGTAGCAACACCGCTGACAAAGCCACTACAGAGCAGCATTGTC